CCTGTCTTTTTGCACACCTTGAGTGATTTTGCCGAATGTGACTCCATCTGTATAGTTAACATCTGTAGAAGTGGTCAGCATGGTGCCTTTACTTTGCATCACTGTGGTATCTAGGATGCTATAGGATCCATTGTTTGTAAAGTTGTAGGTAGACACGGTCAAGATCAAAAGTAAAGACATGTCGACCACTCTTCAGTCACTGAGTCACTACAAGGTCAACTATGCAATGTATACCTTTTTGTTGTTAGCATTGGGCCATAAGTGAGCACTTCTGTCTAAGGCTATCAAAGAGCCTCTGCAGTGGCCCTGTGCACTGGTTATGGCATCATCCGCACAAGGTCAGAGGATTAATTCCCTGTGTGACCCGTTACGCTGTACACATGTAGCTTTCCGAACATTAAATTGCTCGTGAGTTGTTGTTTAGACATTTAAAACAAGACTTCACAGCATGGCCTGCAGCTTCTTATAACAGTGGCTATATTTCTGTATGGCCTAATGTCTGCATGCATAAACTCAATCCCACATGGAAAATATCAGATGATGAAATATTTATTATTGTGACCTTTCTCCGTAATGATTTCATGATTTAATTTTCTAGGGCTTTACCTTAAAGTGCCTGGAGAATACCAAACAGACCCAGGCTCCATTCACAAGAGGAACAGATAATCGGTAAGGACGGTGGCATTTGCATTCAGCTTGTAAATATCAACACTACAGCAGTGACAGCTCGTAACGCTGTGTTTACTGGTTATGAGTCTGCGGTAAGCCCTCAACACCGGTGAAGACGTCTCACTCTGTATTTTAATTTCATTCTTCTAAGTCTTTAAGCCCAATGAGCTGAGCTTGAATCTGGTTTTAAACAAACGGCAATGTTAATGACAAAGGACAGAGCACTGTGAATCAGCATAATGACAACTGATGCTGTATATGTCATTTTTTACTATGGAGTATATAGGTAGTACAATAATTTATTTCAAACCTGCACAAACACAAAATAACAAACATTCAACATAAGACAAGACGATACATACAATACACTAACACATGACAATATAATACTGTAGAGTACTTACAGTTTTGTACATACACACACTCAAGACATAGGTCCAAACTCTCTCTGACCCTACCCCTATCTCTCTTTACTCTGGGCTAAGGGAATCAATCTCTTTGGGCGCCACAGTGATTTGCGCTTCACGGCAAGATGGTCCTGGGTTCCACCTCCAGGCCTGTTTGAAGTTTGCATGTTCTCCTTGTGTCTGTGTATCTTTCCTCAGAGTGCTACGGTTTCCCCTACCACTTAAAACATGTACACTAGGAGTAAGTGGTGAACATGTGAGTGATGGATAGGGGTTTCGATGCACCAGGTGTTTGGCGTCTCGCTTCTGTCATCACTGTGTGTGGAGTAAACTGAAATGTACAACAATTGTTGTACAAGTGCTTTGTGTGACCTTGGTCCGTGAGATATGCTTTACAAAACATATTACTTACTTACTGCCTCCATATACTTCTTTAGTGCTTCATGTAAAAACAGTTTATTTTATTTTATTTTGTCTGTTACATTTTTACAAATGTTAACTCCACTGGCAACGATACACATTGATTTTCAAAAATATCTGAATTTTGGAAAATATAATTTTCAACTGCAAAGTGTTGCGATGCCTCCAGAAATACTACAATAATACAGTTTGATCATGTAAAATAATATTCACAACTACAATATGTTGGGTTTTTGAGATGAGTTGAACGACACTAGAAAAAGTAATTAGTAACAATTTTATTTTCCTCAAATATTATGCAAACAAATGAAACTATAAACAATAAATATGAATACAAAATTAAATGCCACAGGTAAGTCTTAGAGTCTTGCAACTGTTTCTTGGAGGATTTATTATTGTGACAGAGCAACCAAAATGAAAAACAAACATTTGTCTGCGATAAATAAAAATAAAAATGTGATAATGTCACACCAAAGAACTTCTAAAAAATCTCTGACTGTCAAATCAACAGCAACAGTCTCCTGCAGCTGTGTTGCATAAACATGTCCCTTTTACCACATCAGGCAGATCAATAGGGTTACACACAGGCTGGTCAGACTAATAAAACGCTTGGGTGACTGTGGCGTGCCGATGGCGGCGTGTCCCGGGGTGCTGCGCTCTCCCTCTTCCCCTCCACCCTCCCCCTCGCTCCCCGTTCCTTAATGATGGCGGATTAGAGAGAGCAGGGCCTCTACTGTAGGGGAAGCAGCTGTTTCCATGCTCATTATAACCTCACAGGTCCGCAGAGTGGTAACAGCTGTAGTGCACGTTTCACAGGGAAAAGTCCGCTCTCCTATGAAGATCTCAGGCATTCCTGTGTGAGCAGTGAGGCCGTCGCATGACAAGGCCATGACAGGCAGAGCAGAGCAGGAGCGGGCTGACGGATGCATTAGCCTACAGGCCTTTGTTTAGGTGAGCCTGGTATGATGTGATCTTATCAGTCTGCTGGAGAGGGCTGAGCAGGCGCCCCTTGGCTGGTAACTTTAAAAACAAGTTCAGAACAAGTGGTGAGGTTTTGGTTATATTGATACTTCCTCCCTACTTAATAAGGACTGGTTTTAGCTTACCATTCTCAAAGCATTGCTGCCATACTCTCTCTTTCTCTCTCTTGGGGGGCCCTTAGACCAGACCTGCATGGGCAAAATGTGATTCACGTTTCTATGGTGTCTGCTGTATAATTTGCCTTTATTTAAACAAATTGGAGTCAATACCCTCAGAAGACAACACATAATTGCAGTAGTAATGATTCATAAAAAACATTCACTCCTCTTTGTTTTCCTTTGGTCCATTTCAAGCTGAAGTACTCATAATGTTCTGGATCATGGTCAATTCAATATCATGAAAAATACCCACCAAAATGTAAAGAAAGCACTGAACATCTTCCATTCATATTTTCCTAATGTTTTTTCTCTTACCTGATGTAGCTGCACTCTTGTTATTAGAGCATGGCAAATGTGTTTTCCCAAATTGAACGTAATGTTAACTGTGTGAAAATGGGACCGGCCCCTACAACATGCAGATATCTCAATGGCCCCCTGGAGAAAATAATTTTATAGATCATCAAGTCTGAATCTGAGTTGGATCATAGGCAGTACCGTTTTAATGCAAATGTTGGTAATCCCATCATTATTACCCCAATTAACTCTGCAATAGACGGGACATAAATGTTTGAAGGTGCCTTCTCCAGAAACTATGTATGTGGCCTAATGAGAAAAAAGTTGTTTGCACATCCGTTGTAGATGAGGGGACCTTCCCAAGTGAACACAAAAATGTTTTCGATCCATCTGGTCTGGTTCTTATTGACCTTTTGAAGAATCAAGATACGAACAACAATAACGGGACAATCAGATGTCTTCCTTCCCCCGAATATCTCCAGTTCTCACTTTGTTGAAAACTGCCGCATGTGTCACAATAAAACCCAATATTTGTCACAGTTCTCGTTCAATACGACTGCAAAGGTCAATGGTGTTTGTGAGCAAGACACTTCACTCATCACACTTCTGTGGCTGCGGCGAGTGGAGTGATTGGGCCCAGGGGGGTCCTACTGCTGCTGATTGGAAGTTGCACGTCTGGTTTGTCAATCCACCCCAAATCCATTCTCCTTCCAATACTATTCAAGCAACCAAGAGAGGCAAACATTCCAGGTTATTTAAGGGAAACTTTTTGTTTATCATATTCGTTTACATCTTTTTTTTTTATTTAAAGCGGTTTTTCCTGGTTAAATAAATTTTAAATTAAAAATGTAAGTAAGGACCAGTGGGGGTGGGTCCCGGCTCCAAAAGGTCCTTGAGGATGTGCACTGACATCTTTACAATCTGACTCCTTGTTGGTGGTGGTGTACCCGGAAACAAAATTGTCCAATGCATTCTAATGCTACCTTTTATCCTCTTGAAAACGGCTTTACAGGAAGGTCCAAAAGGCTCTCGGCTGAACGCTACATTTCAGATTCGTGTCAATGCTAAGGGGAGTTTTTTTGGACCAGCCTAGTTTCGCAGCTGTGGACTTTAGAATGCACTCGTTAAATTAATGGGATTTGAGGAAACATGTTTTATAAAATGTGGCTCAGTTGGTAGAGCATTGGCCCTTGAGCCTGAAGGTCATGGGTTCGAGCCAACCATGAGACCTCCGGCTCCCACTGATGTCTGCTTTCGTTGTGTCTTTGGGCGAGAGACTTAACCTCACTTTGACTGAAGCCCTCACTAATCCACCTGCAGGAGGATCAGTGAGGGGCTGGTGCTATATGAATAGGGTGGCAGCTGATTCCCATCCCAAAACCCAGCAATAGGCAAAGAGGAAGAAAATGGATGGATGGCTGTATAAATAAAGTTGATTGCAGTGTATATATATCCTCTTCCTTTCCTTCTTGTTTCTCCACTCTATAATTCACAACTCCTATAAAGTATTACAACATATTGACAACTAAAATGAAAGCATTGATTGAGATCATTGTTGAAAGGAAACCATTTGCCATTGAGACGCTTCTAACGTTGCTAATCCCAGATGACGAAATTACATTGGATTGATGAGACAGCTAGATTAGGGGATCACAGCCGCTCGTTCCTGATGCAATTGTGCTGTGTCAGATCCGTAATCTTATCTTGCCGATGTGATATTCTGTTAACTTTTTATGTCGTTACACATCACCCCATCTGTGTGCGGGAGATGTGCGAATAGATATAGAGTTTCACTTAATAGGCCACTTTTAATCAAGGACCGCACTGGAACAAAATGACAACTGGTGTCTCGGTTCGTCCATATCTTCCTGGCAGCTCATGGCGATAACACGATGAGGTGGCGCTAATGAAAGAAATGGTCGCAGTCCAGTGATAAGGCCAGTCGCAGTTCAGAGTCAAATATTGGACTTGTTACAGCTCCATCATCCTTTGCATTTGTAATGGGGGTACATGCTTGTCTGCCGCAGTTTGATAAAGCGCTGGCAGTGTTCGGCAGTTGACAGCTCGTTTGCTAAGCGCGACGTTTCGACAGCACGTAACCATCCCACCACGGCCTGGGTATTACAACAACAACAGCGAGAAGAAGTTCAAGCTGAGGTACCCAACACTCAAAACATAACTATGTAGTAAAAAAATCCATCCGACAATAGCTTCTCGCTCTCAAAACAGATCGGGTCGGAATCAAAGAACATTTATAGCATTAGAAATTGTATTTGTTTTTTGTAGCCTATGCCATTTTAGAAAAATGTATTACTGGCAGTATTTTTTTCAGACAACACAATCACCAGACATACACTCACAACATGTAAATAAAAAACATACAATATGTAACATCACATAATGACAAAAACACACAAGCTTGCAGACTAAAGGTTTGTACATTGTCCCTCTTCTATAAACATTAAACTAAACTAATTTGCTTCTGTCCCTAGTTTTCACATGTACGTATCTTTGGCCGCTATCAAATCTTTGGATCAGCTTTTTCAGACAGAAACGAGGGAAAAAAAGGGCCATCCTCACTCAGCCCATCTCTGAGCTCAAAGCGTCGGATAGTGACTTACGGGGCTGTTCCTATAAGTACTGTGTTAAAGGTGATTTCTAGAAGACAACATGATGCGGTCTGATCTGTTCACAGCTTTACTTCTGTCGGGACAAACAGAATGCATTATATATTTAAAACACAGTTACGTACTCCAGAGATCAGAATCAGAATCATTTTTATTGCCACGTAAGTAACAGGAGGTCACAGACTTGGAAATTGCTTTGGCTCAGTGCAACAGTCAAAAAGAGATAATAAAAATAAGAATAAAAAACACTTCTAAAGAATAAAATTTAATTTAAAATAGAGTTACAGTTACTATTTACAATATACAAGTGCACATGGTGCACACAATGTAAGGTGACAGCAGTACAGTGAAGTAAAGTGACGTATGATGGGCAGTAAAGTGACTTTATAAAGGGCGGGGGGACAGGTTAAGAAGTGTTCAAGAGTCCAACAGCAGAAGGGAAGAAACTGTTCTTGTGGCGGGAGGTTCTAGTCCTGATGGACCGCAGCCTCCTGCCTGAGGGGAGTGGTTGGAATAGTCCATGTGCAGGGTGAGAGGGGTCGGCTGTGATACGACCAGCCCGGCCTCGAGCTCGGGCGACGTACAGGTCCTGCAGCGATGGAAGGCTGCGGCCGATCACTTCCTCTGCAGAGCGCACAATGCGCTGTAGTCTCTGTTTGTCCCTGACTGTGGCTCCAGCGAACCACACGGTGATGGAGGAGGTGAGGATGGACTCGATGATGGCCGTGTAGAACTGCACCAACATCTGTGCAGGCAGCTTGGCTTTCCTGAGCTGCCGCAGGAAGTACATCCTCTGCTGGGCCTTCTTGATGAGGGAGCTGATGGTCGGCTCCCACTTGAGGTCCTGGATGATGGTGGTGCCCAGGAAACGGAAGGACTCCACAGAGGTGATGGGGGAGTCCATCACGGAGGGTGGGGGCGGGGGGACAGTGCTCTTCCTGAAGTCCACAATCATCTCCACTGTCTTCTGGGCGTTCAGCTCCAGGTTGTTACCACTGCACCAGGACACCAGCCGGTCCACCTCCCTCCTGTAGGTGGACTCATCGTTGTTGGAGATGAGTCCAATGAGGGTGGTGTCGTCCGCGAACTTGATCAGCTTCACGGAGTCGTGGCTGGAGGTGCAGTGGTTGGTGTACAGGGAGAAGAGCAGGGGAGAAAGAACACAGCCCTGTGGGGCTCCTGTATTTATAATCCGAGAGTCCGAGACATTCTTCCCCAGACGCACTCGCTGCTTCTGAGATAATCACAAATGCAATGATTTGGAAGGAATTGAACGGCTATTAATGATTTTAATGTGTAATTTTAATGTTTTGATTTTATAAATTACTTTTACGTGTGATTTTATTTGCTATGTTTTTAAATGTTCTTGTGATCTCATTGGGTGTTTTTAATGCCCTTTGGGATTCTAATTGTATTTGTAATGTTTATGTAGATTCTACTGTCTACGATGTATGCCTGATGTGAAATGGGTTGTGTGGCGCTTTGTGTTACCTTGTGTAGGAAAGGCGCTCTACATATAAAAGTTGATTGATTGATTGATCCATCCATCCATCCATCCATTTTCTACCCTTTAATCCATTTCTGGGTCAGGGGGGTGGCAATCAGAGATGCCACCCAAGTCTCATAGCACCAGCCTATGGTATCCTAATATATTGACTGATATTAGGATATAATGTCTTAGTAAGTATAGTTCACTGAGAAATCATCTGTCCTCTTTCATGGCTGTATGTCTGTTCTTTCAATGACAAATACTCCAATGCACCAATCCAAAAAGGAGACATGCTTTTAGTAGGACTAGCATAACACATGTATGACTTTGTACAAATGTATAAATATCCGGATTACAAGTGGATATGGGAATCATACATGTGTGAATCAAGTTATTGCCAAAAATCCAAGCAGACCACATCAACACAATAATTTTTCTATCTGCATATCTGTTCAGGTTACTGCTTCTGCAATTCGTGACTTTAACTTTCTATATACTTTGATGTATACATTGCATTTTTTTGCACGGCCCTGTTTTTGTAATTATTTCAGAAACACACTTTGACTGGCTTGTTTTATATTTCAAACCGCGAACGGAATACTTGTGTGAGTGATGGGAACACTTGACGTGAAGAGGTTTCCCCCAATCTAAGCGAAAAATCAGGTATTCCCCCTTCAACAAAAACATTTAGAAAGTGGATGACTCAAGGCTGTCTCACTTGACTTCTCCTAAATACCTCTAGAAATCGAGTTTTCACACATTAAACTCTCCCTAACACATCCATTCTATGTCCCCCGCTGCTAGCATTGCACTGCACCCACCTCTCTCCTCTACATGTGAATGTGAAATGTCCCCTCCAGCCATAACAGCCGGGGCTCAGAATAAGGCAGAGTGGACGGTGCAAATTACCTCATTTTGGCTTCCATAATTTTGCCCTAATTGTCTGGAGCTTTGCATTCAGGTGTGGAATAATATCAAGCAGGAGAAAGGGGGAAATTTCCAATGTGTTTCTCCCAAGAGCAATTCTTAACAATGTCCGGATATGAGGAGTGCAGAATGTCGCACACTAAAATAGACTAGCATATCACATATTTTCTCTCAAATACCAAACGTTTTACTTGCATTAATTTACCTTCATGCAATCACCTACCTATTAATGAATCCATCAATATAGCTCTATCAAAAATGATCATGTCCAAAGTCTGAAGGACTTGCAGGTCAGTAGATAGACAAAATGCGCAGTATTTACTTATTTTTTTAAATCAAAATAACTACGCCACAATTTGCTTCAGCTTCTCCTTTTGAGTTGTGTTTCTTGAAACGATATGTACACTACCAATCAAAAGTTTGGGGTCACATTGAAATGTCCTTATTTTTGAAGGAAAAACACTGTCGATAACTTTAAACTAGTCTTAACTGTAAGGAAAAACACTCTATACTTTGCTTATGTGGTAAATGACTATTCTAGCTGCAAATGTCTGGTTTTTGGTGCAATGTTTTAATTGCTGCAAATGGAGGATTCTTTGACGAAAGCAAAGTTGGATGTAAAACAAATCTTATTTCAAATACAAATCATTATTTCTAACCTTGTCAATGTCTCGACTCTTTTCTATTCATTTCACAACGTATGGTGGTGAATAAGTGTGACTTTTCATGGAAAACACTTGGGTGTTTTCCATTTCTACTACTACAATAGAGTATTCAGGAAAGCAAAATGTGTATAGTTCTCATCTTTCAATTGTATCTGCATAAAGATGATGACAACATAAATAGAGAAAAAATCAATAGGACCAATGATAACCCTGAGAACATAGTGTTCTCAGTGTGGACCTCCCTCTAAGAGTGAGACTGTTTCAACAGGTCTGCAGCGGGACAAAGGTAGGTTCTTTTATCTTATCAGAGAAGAATCGATGGGACGCTGAAACTCTTCTCTGGCCTGGACCGTCGACTGATCCCCCTCAGGCACCCCCTCTCCCTCCTCCCTGTGGTCCTCAACCTTCATGAGCCAAAATGACTCAACAGACTTGTGCTCTAGCTGAAAATGGATGCGCGTCAGCTGTGAACTCATCTACAGCCTGTCCATTCATGAAAGCTTGTGATTTATATATTTCCCACTGGGTTTTTGAAATTCTTCCATGAAAAAGAAGGAGGGCCTAAGAACACAGGGTGCTTTAGGTCATTTATCAATTTGCTATATTTTTTCAGAGAGTATCGAGTAGCACAAGTATAGAGTTGTGTTATACTTAATATTTACTTATACTGTGTTGTGTGCTCCTCATTTCGACTGTAACTTGTGATGCAACACTGACATTTCTCTACAGTGGGACAAATAAAGGATCTATCTCTTTCTCTCTTGAAGTTATTTTTACCAATCAGTGTTATTATCATTTCATTTCTAAATTGCTATTGTGCTACAAATGAGTAATTTTGTATAGTGTGTTGCACTGGAGAGAAAAGCTAAAACCAGGGACAGGAGTTGAAAATGAGCAGTAGTGACACAGTCTGTATGTTTCGCATCAGTTTCATCTTTCATGCTGTAATTGTCGCTGTAAAATAAATATGGACCAAAACCAATGTGTTTTCTGTTTTATTTCTTGTGTTTTAATTCTCTGTTGTAAAGTTTTGTAAAGTCCTCCGAGATACTGTTGTGATTTAGGGCTATACAAAAATAACTCACATTTAATTAAATAAATCAATGCATTTGATTTAAAAAGTATTCCAAAGTTGTTCTGTAAAGTTCTTTTTCATATCTGAATGAATTTGCTCTTTGTGCTTGAAATAATGACTCTCTGTCTGCATTGACACCGTCTCTTCCTTTTTCCCTGATGAGGCGTTTGCACCCTTGGGCCCATTATCTGCAGTGTGCAGTGACAGCCCTGTGCCCAGACGCCCTGCTCTTTCACCGGGACGCGCCTCTGAGAAGGTGTTACAGCATAACAAGGACCACGACATCACATCCGTCAAGCCCAGTGTGGTGCTGTGAAAGTGGGATGAAGCAGGAAGAATGGGGCGGAGAACAGGTTAACTAACAGAAGACTAGAACAACAGAGATGCTAATGTGAAATAAGAGAGTCAATGGGTGAGGGGTTAATGAAAAAGTGAAGGAGAAAAGGAGTTTAGCATAATAAAGTATAGCTTCTCAAAGGACCCTTAGCAGGCCTAAATCAACTCTACAGCAAGCCTCCGCACTATTGTTACACGGCTTTGGGATTATGTACGGCACCATGTGGGTCGCCATGCATCCTGTGCCACTCTCACACTGACGACTAATGAAGTTGACACAGCCTTTCAACTATTCATGACTATTGGGCTGAATTATTTGTTGGATGGATGTAAGCACAAACTGTGTTTCCAGAGATCAGGCCTCGGGGGGGGCAGAGCAGCGGTCTGTCTCTCTCTGTGGGAATCTTCAGAGCAAAGGCTTTGATTTCACAAACGCAGTCTGTTTCCTACATCAGCTCCAGGAGGTGCAGCATGTCTCCTCTGGGGGCAGCGCTGCGCAGCTGTGGGCGAGTGACGGCGCGATGGAAAGACAGAGTGGGACATGAGGAAGAGGCTAAGCTAAAGCTCATTATGCCTTTGCTTACAGGCGTTTGTGTGGCTATTCTATTAGGCATATCTAAAGTGTAATTGTACCATTGGGGGTGACAGCGTTGTCGGGGTGCCAGGCTCTCTTTGAGCGACTAGTGAAGTGTGGTAATCTCACACACCATCTCATTACAGTCTAAACCCCAGCAGCTGCTCGCATTAGACTTTTATTACACACTGCCGCTCACAGCTGTGCTGGCATGGGCCCGGCCAGGAGCTGAGTGAGGGGAACAAAGACGGGCTGACACGGGGATTCCACCACAACATTTGGCTTCTATCAGAACAGTGGAAATGTGGAGCAGAGGGCTGTAATGACCCTAACAGTCTCTTACTGTGATAACCGTGCCGCCTGCTCCCCTGAACCTCAGAGCAGGCCAAGGACAGTGCGCAGATGGGCCAGCCTTTCCCAGTATGCACTGGGCTCCATCACAAGTGCCCCAGCGATGTTCATCAGCCACCTCAGCAGGACAGCCCTCACCAGCACTGGCCTCATTCACACACTTGTATTTATCGTCCACACACACATCTGCTGCTCAGTTCACTTTAGATGAGCGACATGTTGACAGGTAAGAGCACAACTAAAGAAAACTGTAATAACTCAACACTTGTGTTAAATACATCAAACTCACTGAGGGATCAAGGGCAATGTTCATCCTAAAAAAATACTCATTTCATTTGAAGATTATTTTGTCTAAATTTCAGAGTTTGCAGTGAAGTAGACTTACTGTGGCCTTTGAGAACTCTACTGAAGCTCCCATTATAGGAATACCTATCCTTTGGGTGACATCAAGATTAAGGCACACTTTGTAGTCCCTGTAGGCAAATTTGTCCTCTGCATTTCGACCATCCTTCAATGCCGCCAGGGCAACCTGTCAGGAGCAGTGGTTGCAACAGTTTAGCATCTGGGGATCCATCTCCAGATGTTGATGCCCGGCTTGGTCAGCACTGCTGGAGATGGAGGCTTTTACCTGGTGTTGAATATTCAATCACCTTTGAAATGAAATTGGCCCAAGTGTATTCTGAAGACTCAGACTATCATAGGGACTGTAAGTATTGTAATTTACACAACATGCAGAGTATAATACATATGTCACATTCAAAATCAATGGAACTTTGCTCAGCACACTTGCTGGCTATTGCAAACTTGTACACAATAGCCAGATCCCGTCAGATCTCTGAAGCTGTGCACTTCACCCACATTGCCTAGAATGATTCTGGTGTGTGTGTGAATGGTTAGTGGTTAGGGGGCGATGATTGCCATGCTTCTGTCAGTCTGCCGCAGGACAGCTGTAGTTACAGTAGTAGTTTATCACCACCGTGTACGTAGGGAAAGAACAATCACATGTGAAGCGTCTTTGAGTGTCCTGAAAAAGCATTTAAATAAAATCGATAGATTATTTGCCATTTACTGTAAAACCACATTGAAAGACATCTGGTGTGCACAAGACCTGTAGATCAAAAATCATCAGCCATCTTGCCCCCACCACCATTATTATTATGATTATACAGACATTATGAAAGAATTAGAATCTTGTGAAAAGTTATCTTTAAAATCTTCTGATAAACTACACAAGTGCTTCTCTGCAAATGTGTTAGAGTGTAGCATGGTGGTGTACTTGTTGGATTTATTTTTGTGTACGATTCATTTTTTAATTTAATTCTTAAGTCCAACATGTATTCACCTCACACCCCCATGGAGTGCCCCATATAGGAAAACACACTTCCTACGGGCAACATTCACTTTACAGGAACGGCTCTAGTATCAATGATGAGGAAAGCAGGAATGAGTATGAAAACGTCTAACTAACTAACAACTAATTATACTTTCTGACTTTCAGACAAAACAAAGCAATGCATTTAAAGGGATCAAGATACAGTTCGAAGGAGAGTTTGATCATTTTCATAACTGTAGTTGCTTTAGATGTTTTGGCTGTTAAAATTAAATAATGCATAACAAATCTGAGGGACCCAACATGAAGCAGCTGACTGCATTATTTTTACATTCAGTATACGCAATCATTAGCTGATTTAGATCTGAAATTATTGAAACAAAAAGTAAAACCTTGAGTGATATTTTAGATTGTGGTTAGTTTCAGATGGAAAATATGCATAAAATAAAGTAATTAACGCTATAAAAACAAAAGTAGCCAAATAGCCAAAAATCATTTCAATCCAAAACGCATTTCCTGTGTTTGAACTGTTTGATTCTGCGATCTGTTTTTGGTGAATTGACAGCTTTGTAAAGTCCTCCGAGACGACTGCTGATGTGATTTTGGTGTGAATAGAAAATATCTGTTTGGCCTTTTTCTTTGGATCGCTAAGTGAAAAAAAAAAGGCAAACGCTTTGGACTGAGAGAAAAAGAGCTCTCAGTTCAAAGCATCAAATAGTGATTCACAGAAGTCTGATTAGTGACATGTTTTTAATATTTTAAATGACTTTGATGATTTGTTCGCAACATTGTACTTTTGCAGTACTCCAAAACGTTACGCACCCCAGCTTTAATCAGCTTAGAAAACATGAACAACTTGGGGTAAAATCCCGGTCGGAACAGGTCCTTTCTGAGTGGAGTTTGCATGTTCTCCCCGTGTCTGCATAGGTTTCCTCCGGGTACTCCGGTTTCCCCTATCACTCAAACATGTACAATAGGTCTGGCATGCGCCTCCTGTAATGGCGACCCCGCTCCCATCTCTGCGGGGAGTGGGAGACAAATGCCCACAATTCTAAATGTATATAATTAACTCATTGACTGCCATTGATGTATTTGTCTAAGACTGGTGATTTTTGTCAAATTTCCCTCTATTCGACTTGGGATTACGGGAGAACAAAACTAGCTAGAAACAACATATTTTTGCTGATAAAAGAAGACAGTCCAATCTTTCAGAATCTGGTTTTATATTTCTGACAGTTAGTCATAGCACATACTATTCCGTGGGTCTTGAAAGGCAGTGAAATCATCAAAAATAGCTGGCAGTCAATGAGTTAAAGATGACTTACTTACTTACTTACGTATTTCCCATCACCACTTCATCAGGGAAACAAGGGCAGTGTGGATGAATGCATGATTACATTCACACAGTATTGCAAAAAATATCTCCATTTGAACTCGCCATTTCCAATAATCATCCTTGAGTTGTGTCATTCTGGAAAGTTATTGTGTAGCTTCCAAGGAATGCTTCAATGTCTGTCAATTCGTTCTTTAAGAGCAACACGAAAAAGCTCCATTTGATCATAATGCAACATACCCAATGCATATTGCTATCAGTAGGTAGCAGCAATATCTTAAATACAATAAGTGCTGGATAAATTACCTTCCTTGGCATTCTCAGAAAGACCTTAATGAGACGAGTGCATTCAAGATGCGCCAAAATAATTACCTCTTAGCTACAAACTGCTTTTTCATGATAAAAGCCATCCACTGTTCAGGATGGCATAGGATCAAAAACCAACCTGTGCCGGCTTTCACCTCCTACATAAAGCAAAAATAATGAACCGCATGGACATAGAGGCAATGCATCCTCACTCATTCAGATGATCTCAATGTTTGCAAGCCCCTGAAAAGTACAAAAGGTGCTCACGTAATCCACGGAGCTGATTTTTGATCAAACAGAACGGGGTTCAGAAAGAGCGACTGGTCCATCCCACCCGCTGTGCAATCTCATTATTAGATATCAGAATCAGAATTAGAATCAGAACTATTTTGATGACCACAGACCACAAGGGAAATTTGCTTTGGTATATAAGGAGCAATCAAGTGATAAAAAGTAAAAACAAAAAAAGATGCACAAAAACATTGTATTAAGATTTGAAAACATAAATACACACAATAGACATGTAACAGTGCAAATTATCAAAAAGTGTCCAGGGGTATGAGATTATAAAGTGACAGTGGCCATCATTATAGACGTCAGATCTATTACATTTAAAGGTGTTGTCAGGCCCTGCAGACCCGCTTTGTGGGTTGCACCCCCTCCCCGCCTGGGAGTTGCTTTAGTCCTGCACCGGACCTGTCCCTCTCTCAACGTGGAGCTCCACAAGGTTTCTCACTTATTTTCCCACTGCAGGGCGGAGGGTCTGTTTGGCTGTGGTCTAACAAAAAGGACTGTGGTGATGATCCAGGAAACTAACATTCTACACAATTTATGGACATTTATCAACATTCATGGACATTGGTCAACTCCCCCTATGGACCAATAACTAAGTGTTCTATATTTCTTTTTGTGTTTGAATGTCTTCTATTCTCTGATCTGTGATTTCAACGGTTGTGTCAAGTCCTCTGAGATTTAGGGCTATACAAGCATAGATTGAATTGAATTGAATTGGAAAAAACCTGAGATTGACTTTCATTTCCACAACAGTCAGATAATTTTGGGGCTATAGATAATTTCAAACCATATTTTTTGTTCTACTAGACGCAGGGGTGTCAAACTGGTTCTAGAAAGACTCATACCAGGTTTATACCACAACTAAACTAAGAAAGAAACTACTACTAGACAGAACCAACCAGATATGGACACAGAATAAGAATTAAAGCTTTTCCCGCCCCAGTACATTAGTGTGTAGGCTGGATCAGATTGTTTGCTGGGCCTGATTTAGCCCCTGGGTTGCAAGCTGAATAGACGTATTACACTTTTTATTTTTTTTACACAAATAAGAGAATTATGCATCATGCTCAATAATCAGACGTCATTGTCTCTGTCCCCAAATGTGTCAGACAATTTTCCCATGTGGGTAAACATTTCTGAGATTCAATTTCGCTCGATATATACTTCTTTATCTTGTTTATCTTTGAGTTGGCCCATGTATGAACTGTACTGTACAAATAATCTTACCTTTTCCTTCTATTTGTCTTCAATCTTGAATTTTGGTCATGCATTTGTCATTTTTATTCTATTTAATCTGTTTAATGATAACCAAACAAATCATCTTGCAAAGTAAAAGGCATGTATTAAATTGAATCCATATATACCATTTTTTTTTACCATT